GTGTCAAGATCCGATGGGAGAAGAACATCACATTAGGAGAACCTCCGGGGTTCCTCCACTCATGGTGGTGGTGAGTGCGTTTTTTTTATGGGAAATGATACAAGATCCATTCTTTTTATTGCCGTTTCTGTTCATTCCATCACTGCCATGACTGAATAAAATTATCTCTCCTCCTGTGTTTGTCTTTATCTCATCAGCCCTTCCTCAGTTAACTGTTTGCATGCTGTGATAGTGAATTTGAAGTCATCTGCTGCAATGTTGATAACAAAAAAAAACAACTTATTTTCTGGATGCCAGATTACCAGAGCTCTGTTATGGCCTATCTTTTCTTTATTTCAAAGGGTTCGGCTTTATAATATTGTCTCTTTCTGTGCTTTGTAGTGTTTTCTGGGACCTGTACTGTGCAGCTCCAGAGAGAAGAGACACATGTGAACACTCCAGTGAGGCAAAGGCCTTCCACGACTACGTGAGTCTGCGCTGACGCGGCTTTTCTTCCTTATTCTGGCTCAGTGGCGCTCTCAGATTAATTCAGAAATCTATGCTGGATGGTGTCATGTTATAAGGAGACCAATGCCAGTGTGCAGTATTGAATAAACAGATGATCAAATCATATAATATCCTTAACCAGGAAATTATGAAGTAACTAAAAAAAATATGACAAATAGTGTTTTATCTGCTTTTTTTGCAGAGCAGTAGAGTCTGTTGCAGGTCATGCTTGTGTTTGATTGTGGCTTTGATGGAAAGGCAGAGTCTAATTCACAGTGTAAAAATCTTCACATCTCTGCTGGATGAAAGCATTTTGAGAAGTTGCATAGAAAAATATTCTTTTATGATATGAAACTGGAGAAAACTGGATTGTTTCCAGATTTTATTGTGTTGTGTTCACCTAGCTCTTAAAATTCTTAAAATTAGAGCTAATATATTTTATTTAGTAAGGCCACCGCACCTTTTTGGTGGTCTCCTTGGGGAAAGCTGCTTTTAGTTCCCTCACTGAAGTTTTAACTACTTGCACTTGTTCCTCTGACATATGTGCTGGGTTTCTGCTGTTGTGTCAAAACGATGCCCCTTCAGCTAGATTTTATTTTGATAGGAAGAAGCCGCAGGGAGCCAAATCTGAGGCCACTCAGATCGCTTCATTTCAGTTGGTTTGCGCTGAATGTCTACTCTCAGTTGCTGCAGCATGCTAAAGGGTGCTAACATTTAACTCTGACCCCAGCTGCACAGTCAACTTTAAAATAAATAAATAAAGAGACGATAACAAGCTTGCTCCTAGCTGCGCTCCTGCCCTCATGTGCCACCTTTGGACAGTAAAAGAACCGCTGTTTAGTCCCCCTAAGATCCAGCTCTCATCACTATGATCTAGGGGTGGGTTTTAATAATCGATTCATCGATTAAAATCGATTCTGGCTTGGATAACGTGATATTGATTCATTAAAATCCTGAATCGATTTTTTTATATAAATGTATTTTGCCCAAAATTCCAGAATCTCAGGTGAAACGTCACAAAATTTTGACAACCACCAAACATTTAAAACAGTAAATGAGAGCAGGTCCACGGCTTCTGCACAAAGACGTAAACGCAAAGCGCGGACCCGCAGATCAGAATCGGTGAGATGTCGCCTTTCTCACCCGACGGCAGGGACACGGTCGGGGCTGAAAGCCGACAGCTCGCTGATTCTGATGTTTCGGCGGGTCCGCGCTTTGTGTTTACACCCTTTTTGCGTTGATTCTAAAGCTGTTAGTTTTATCTCTCTCCAAACAATATTAACCGAACCAGCAGCAAAAGAAGATCCAAACTACGCTTCACATAAACATCGTCATGGACTCCCTCTGACTTTTGCTGTTTTGCTTCCACCACAATAAAATCACACTTCATGCACAGCTCTCTCTCTCTCTTTTTCTCAGTGTACTTCAAGAACAGTTTCCCGTCTATCCCCGAAATCTGTTTTCTGCATTATTCGCTTGCTTGTTACGCACAAGGCTACCGTTGTTTACAGCGCTGTCGGCCGATGTTTTGTTTTTCCTTTTACTTACTTCCGAAAAGAAAACCTAATTTCAGCTGTTCAACAGGCTTCTGAACAAATTTAAACTTTTTAAAATGATACAAAATGCAAAACGCTGTGTCTCTAATAAAACCGCTGTAACTTCAGAGGTAATGTTCATATGTTGATTAATGGTTTTCTTTCGTTTTTGATGTACTGCAGAATATTTTTTTATAAAATCCCAGGCCAGGAAAATCACCTTCATGTTTTTCTGTGTTTTATCTTCAGCTACTTTGACACAAAGGCATCTGCTGTGATGCTCACACCTTTGATAAAGTCTGGAAAGTGTCAGCCTTCTTTTTATAGATACAAAAATATGTAAATGTTCTGATCTGAATTATAATATTTCTGACTGTCTGAGGCAAAATTTCCCAGATTCAAATCGAATTGAATCGAATCTATTCTAGAAATCAGTGACGATACCCAGCCCTACTATGATCCTCGACATGAGAGTCGTGTCAGTCTGACACAATTCTGCAAATTTAAAACCTGTGATGTCAGAGATGCTCGAGCACAAAAAAAAA